GGATTCTACAGCAGAAAAGAATATTTCTTATTTTAGGTTTTCCATCAAAGACATACTCTAGCTCCTGTCAAACAATAACCATATGCTTACATCCTGCCTTTGTGATGAAAAAGGTACTAGGTTGCTCAGCCACTTTTTTGGCGTTTGTATGTAAATAGAATTTTGGGATACTCTTTCTTTGCTAGAATCCTGGCATTTATAACATGGTTCATAGCTCTGTTTCGGAACATGCTGGGGTTCTAGTCTAAACTTCACAGGTTTAACTGCACAGTAGAATAGAACTAATATTAACTGATGACTGGTTTTTGATAATGGAAAGTTTCAGCTTAGAAGGAAATATTTAATTTAATATAAAAAAATCCTTTTGGTTGGATTTAAGTTAAGAGTTAACCAAGTCAGTCTTTATGAAACTAAACCAGACTTTTATTTCTATTGAAGTTTTTCATTCCTTATTCCATAATATTGGATGGAACTTTTTGATATATTAGGATGCAACAACTGATATTCAGGTTAGAAAACTGATTTCTTATACAGACTCAAAAATTGTTTTAAACATTTCATAAGGAGGTTCAGTATCAAGAATTGATGTGTATATTTGCACGAGCTGTAAGAATAGAATAGAATAGAACTGGCATGAGGCTGTCGGGCCACTGGTAAAATCCTGTGAAGAAAATACTATAACAGGAAAAGCTAGTTCTCTCTCTTGAATAAGTGCTTATTTTAAGTAACGCATTAGGCAGGTAGCAGTGGTCAACAAAATTTCAGCCTTTCCTCTTGAAAGGCAACTGCTACAATTATCCAAGCCTTTGTCGCTACTATGGATCAATATAATACAGTCCTTCTGAGGCAACTCTTAAAGACCACTCCGAAACTTCCATCCGTGTAGACTGTTCCTGACTGTTTAGCGCCTCTTACTGCAGGGAACATATTACATCAGTGCTCCTTATAGTTTTTTTTTTTCCAGGTGAAATTGAAAATCAGCACTTTGATTTGTGGTTTGAGTCATAAGCTATCTTAGAAATTGTCTCTCTCCTTATGCTGTATCCTGACAACAGACATCATCTGAGCCCTTCTGTGCACACACAAGTTGCAACAGTTTAAAATTGATTTAAACACTGAAAAAAATTAAACAGTTACAAGAAACTTATCAGTTTACTGGCTTATTCTAGCTTACATTTATATTTAGTTTATATTTATAAACTTACAGATACAAGTTATACATATATAAGCCAGGATCAAACCAAATTGAACCAGCTGTTAAACCCAGCGGGTAACTATATCAGTTTAAACCACACCCCTTTAGTTGAACTAGTGCAACTGTGTGTGTAGACCAGGCCCAAGCCACTGTCACTTCAGAATGGGACCCACAGCTCTAAAATGTACTTTCCCCTTTGGTCCAGTGGATCCTGAGTTTGACCTACAAGGCACATGGGAAGTGAGATCTCTTTTGTGATTTGGGATTTTTTCTTTGAGTCCTTTGAGCTGACGTCAGTTAGCTATGTTTATGTCAATTAGTTGTGTTTAGTTATGTTTTTAATTTGAGTGATGTATATATTTGATGTAAATGTGTCTAAAGGTTGTGATAGGTACTTTTAAAAAATTGAAAATAAAATTGACTTGAGCCTTTAAAAATTCAGACAAGACAAAGCAAAGGTTGACAATCTGGGTTGACAGAGTAAAGGCTGGTAATCTTTATTATCTCTTGGTATTGTGCTTCCTCCTGCCTCCCTCCAGCCCTCTCCCTTGCAGTGTGAGTTAAGAGCAGTTATCCTTGGATAGAACCGTGACCCCATTGAAGTCAATGGCAAAACCCCCATTGACTTTACTGCGGCCAGGATTTCCCCCCTTGCTTTTTACTGATGTGCTGCAACTTTAACATTATTTCAGTGTACACTGTTATTGTAAATAAACCCCATGTAAACACAGTTAAAGGTTATACCACTTGTGTGGTATGGAAAGAATACACTCCACAAGGCAAACAACAGAGATGTAGGGAAATGAAATGCTCTTCTTTTTGTCAATTACCATTGTTAGCTTTTTGCTTAGAATATAGTGGTATGTGTGAGGGAAAGAGAAAGTAAACTTGAATTGTGCAGTAACGTCATATTAATAATAGTGCTTGCAACTTTGGTTGGTTTTATATATTTCTTTTACATTCCAGAAAGGCTGTGTACTTAGGGTGTTTGTTAGTATAATTTCAGTAAACTATTATATTTTAGTTACCATCTTTTGTAACTGCATCTGAGTGTCAGGCTTAGTTCTCTGACCTGAAGGTTTAATAAACTTTTCTAACCTAAATTATGTTGATATTTAAGTACAATACATCAGTAATACAATTTAAACCATAGAGTAAGGTTGGCTTTGTTTCTTCCCTTCATAGACCCTTTTCATTGACTTCAAAGAGCTTTTGTATCAGGCCCTTTGCTCCCATACTTGCTTACTTGCACACACACAGAGTCATACTGTACTCTTTTTAAATATTTTAATACTAATTTGAAGTCAGCACTGGGTGTGTAGCATGCTTTCCAGTTTTTATTGGGGCTGTTCTGAGCCTGTGACTAGTTAAGTGGTGTTTTTATTGGGACTGTTCTGAGCCTGTGACTAGTTAAGATTTTCCAAAATTATCTTGCTTGTGATGTTTTGTTTTCTCACAAATACTGTGTCTCTGTAGTATTGTGCTGGTCTGCTCCCCAGGTAAGAGAATGCAGCTGGAAGACTGTCTTCTGAGGCAGGATCATAGTGGCCTAATGACAATGGCTGTGGAGGGAACTGAGGGTTGTGGTCTTGCTTGCTTGAGTGCTTTTAAAGCCATTGAATAGCAGGCACTCTTTAAGTGCAAAATATTATCATTCTTTATGAAATTTATGGCCAGTGTTCCTGCATAATTTGTGTGTGTCTGATTTGTGCACACAAATACCCTATGTATATACTGGTCAGGTATTTGTACAAACATAGAAACAAAGCTCTAAACCGATTATATGCACAAACTTGATTTGTGAATGCATATTAGGTATTTGCATGCATAAGTGCACGCAACTGTATGTACACAAGCGTGCTCAGTATCTTTGATAATCTGGTTCCTAATTACAAAACAATAGTGCTGATATCTATTTTGATTCCATGAGGGAAGAGGACTTTTCTTTTTTTGAAATACGGTCTTGAAAGTTAAGAAGTCAGACTGCTGAGGAGTTAACACTGGGATTAATAAAACAACCCTGAAAGAGAGACTTAATTAACATTGCACTGCCTTTTCAGTTGGACTGAAACTGTGTCTGGTTCATCACCAAACAAAATATATTAGTTTGTATTTGGAGAATACATCTGACAGTAAGCTTATAGGGAGAGCTCATCTTTTTCTTATAATCTTATTACAGTATTTGTATACTTTATTTGCTTGCTTTGACCTTGAATGGTTTAGACGGAATGTTCAATGTCTATATCATATCTGCTTGAACAAATACTTGCTCTTTTCCTGAATATTTTAAATATTTTAAATAATTGTATCTTTAATTTTAATCTTTTACCTTTCTATAGTAATTCAGCTGAGTACTAAACACTGAGGAGGATGATAATCCAGTTTATCAATAATATGATGGAAATGCATGGCCTGTTAAAATATACTAAAGCAGTCCGTCTCTGGGAGAGGCTTTACGTGCATTTCTTGGTACTGTTGAAGAAGCTCTTTTTTTAAGATAGATATATATATTTCAATGACAAGAGAAATGGGATATTGAAAAGGGCAGCACGGCTCAATGGGGCAGTAATAGAGCAAATAAACTCCATTAGCCAAATCACTGATTTGAAAAACATTGGTAAGATACATTGGTAAGTGCCCCTGAGTGCCTTATGTGGGAAAAATTATTAAAGTACTTGGACACAACATTGAGGTTGGGCTTTACGGTCTGGTGTGACCAAAATTAAATGACAGAATCTTAAAATAATTTGGATAATGTAAACTTCATTCACGGTTAGCCAGAGTACTCTATTTAATACTTGAACAATTGCGTCAAAATTTAAGAAGCAGAAGTTATACACATTCCAAACTCATAAATACGTTCCTTAAGTTGCCCAAATCTAAGCCATGACACTCAAGGATCTTTGATATAATTTACTTTTTAGTAAGTAAATTCATCATCAAAGTTTAGTGAGTTAGGTTATAACAGATTTTGCAATGCAGCTTGTATCTTTAGCTAGACTACATTTTAATTATGGATTTGATGCTGGATTAATGCCTACTGGGTGCACTTGGAAATATTACAGATCTCCACTTACTCCTAGCTTTGCAACCGCGCTCATCTTCCTGAGCATTTAATGTAAAGAAATATAAAGGAAAATACATTGATATTTTTCAAATTTTATCTTTATGGGCAATATGTCCTGAAAGTGTTCTTATTTTTCAAGATAAAACATATACATAAATTAGCTAGCTTAAAACACACTAGTATCAGTGGGGAAAATTATCTTTCAACAACCACCTTGTAGTTAGGTGAGACTGCATAACCTCCCCAAATTGGCACATTCCACCCATATACATACAGCATCACATTGCCTCCCTTCCTCCCTTCCCCGCCCAAAGGAAAAGTAACACAAAGGTAGCCAAGAGATAGTGAGAAATGGCATAAGATGTGGAAATGTGAATGCAAACTATAATATATAAATGTATGGATGTTTTTCATTGATTTTCAGTTATAATGTTCTTAAACCCAACTTTAGATTGTGATTAATAGTGAAAGTCTTATTTTAAAAATGCATTATAATACATGCATGAAAATATCCATGAAGAGAGAGTGATTAATCCAGGTTTGCTTACTCTGTCAAAAAGACATATGCCACTAGGCAAAGGCCTGATGGAATGTTTCAGATAGGACTGCCTGTTTCCTCTGAACTGCCCACAGCTGTAACTCAGCCAGTAACTGAAAGAGTGTACAAAATTTCTCTGTTGCTATAGCTGTGATGTCACACACTGATACTAACATGTGGTTGGTTATTTTATGTTTCAGATCACTGCCTGTAGTTGAGCACAAAGAAAACAACGAGACTCCCACATTTTCAGCAAGAAGAAAGGATTCAGCAGAGCAGATTAATACGGACTTGTGTCTGGTGGCCTTTTTGTACAAAGGCTGCCTTTAAAAAAGAAACAGTGTTATTTAATGAGCTGTGAGACGAGGCACTGCTGCTAACACTCCAATTCCAAGATTCATCTGCTATTCATTGTGCTTAATGTACATGTTTCTACACCGTGCATTTAGAAGCTCCCAGAGAAGAATCCAAAACGGCTGCGGGGGAAAGACCACCAAACATGCCTACAGAAACACTACAGACAGGTAGCATGGTGAAACCAGTCAGTCCTGCTGTTACTTTCACATCTGCCGTTCCTCTTCGCATCTTAAACAAAGGACCGGACTATTTTCGCAGGCAGGCAGAGCCTAATCCAAAAAGACTTAGTGCTGTGGAGAGACTAGAAGCTGATAAAGCAAAATATGTAAAGAGCCAAGAGGTCATCAATGCCAAACAAGAGCCTGTAAAGCCAGCAGTGCTTGCAAAGCCACCAGTTTGCCCTGCCGCCAAGCGAGCATTGGGTAGCCCTACCCTGAAAGTGTTCAACAACAATGCAAAGACTGAGAGTGGTGTCCAGAGAGAAAATTTAAAATTAGAGATTTTGAAAAACATCATTAATAGCTCTGAAGGCTCCAGCTCAGGTTCAGGTCACAAACATAGTTCACGAAACTGGCCTCCCCACAGATCTGATTCAGCAGAGCTGAACCGGCATTCATTTGCAGAATCTTTGAAGGTCTACCCCACCCAGGGCCGGAGCAGCCCTCAAGAAAGCAACTCCAACGTGAGCAGGAGGCTCTTAGAACAGTCAGCGGAGACTTTCTTGCACGTTTCCCATAGCTCATCAGACATTAGAAAAGTAACTAGTGGTAAGCCCTTAAAAGCAATACCCTGCAGTAGTTCAGCCCCACCTCTGCCTCCAAAACCCAAAATTACTGCCATCGCCACCTTGAAATCCCCAGATATCGACACAGTAGAATCCAGTTGTGGAGTCAGTCGAAGACCCTCCCTACAACGATCAAAATCAGATTTAAGTGACAGATACTTTCGTGTTGATGCAGATGTTGAACGATTCTTTAACTACTGTGGACTGGATCCTGAAGAGCTTGAAAACCTTGGGATGGAAAATTTTGCAAGGGCTAACTCTGATATTATATCCCTCAACTTTCGCAGTGCAAGCATGATTAGCTCAGACTGTGAACAGTCTCAGGACAGCAACAGTGACCTTAGAAATGATGACAGTGCCAATGACCGTGTGCCATATGGCATTTCTGCAATTGAAAGAAATGCCAGAATCATCAAGTGGTTGTATAGCATCAAGCAAGCTAGAGAGTCACAGAAAGTGTCCCATGTGTGAGAGGAAATCCACAATAGAATAAGCAAGGACCGTAACTTTGTGAATATTCAGTTGTGAAGGGTTGTGAAGTCTACTTGAAGTCTTGTACACTTCTCAAATCTCTTTGTGTTGCTTGTTGTGCAATGTTTTTAAGTTGCATGCCTGTCAACATGTGAACTGACCTGGCTTCCACTTGAACAATAACACTACAAATCCTGGCTGAGCATACACATTATCTGCCAAAAGTTTAAGACCAGAATCTAATTAGGGCTTCATCATAATCAAATTGTTTACATGAAAAGATTATATAACTTCTTCATATTTATATAGTTCCTTGTGTTTTTTTATATCTCACGTTTTTGTGTCTTAAATACAGATATTGTCAACTGACATTACTAGCTTTTAAATTGAAATGGAATCCTTTTAAAAGACAAGGCAAAATTGGCCAAAATAAGAGATTTAGACATACAACAATAGGCAAAGAAACTTGATCTTCTGTGGAATGGGATTTATTGGCTCACGTAAAAGTGTTCCTAAACTACAGAGAATAATGCATCCTTTGTTAAAATACGCAAATCCACCTTTATTAAAGCACTGTTTGGGGTATGATGCTTTTAATTTTCTAAGTTCCCTCATTTTTACAGTGAAAGTAGTTTAGCAAAGCTGCTTGACCTTTCATAGCCTAAATGAGTCCTGAGTTTGATTCAGTGTAAAAATATTAATAGTTTCATGTTACACTGATGGAGAGGTTAAAAAGTGTCAAAGAAAGTTGACTGATAGAAATGTCTTCAATGATGTGTTGGGTTTTTGTTTTGTTTTTGTTCCTTTGTTTCTTTTCTTGTTAAATAAAGATTCCTAGTCTTAAACTTTTGACAGGAATGATTAGATTCTATAGCTGATATTGAATGCCTTTATTAGTCAAGCACACCATGACTACAAACTCCATGCTGTCTTTTAAGTTTTTGTAGATTTGTTTGAACAGTTCATGAACAAAAATGGAAACACACAGCCATATCAGTATAAAGCCTCCTGTTAAGAAGTAAATACACTCGATAGCTAAACTATATCTGAGAAACTGTGATTATGTTGTCTTGCATATGTTATATCTAAGGCTGTGAAAGTTTGTTACAGCTCTAGGAAAGTGTAGAAACATGACAGTACGTAGCTTTTTTCCCCCTTCCTTATGATGGTTAGTGCTGCACGTTAATCTGTTACAATTTTGTTGACAATCTGTGTCTTCCCAATGGTTTAATTAACTGTCATTCCAACCGACAGTTGTGGTGTGTGGTAGCAGAGAAGTTGAAAGTACAGTGGTCTGCTTCATTATTATTGTATTCATGCTCTGAAGTACATTGCAGCACTACCTTATACTTCATCAGCTAATAGGAAACTTTTTTATTGTGTAAATGCTGTAATACTTTGTATATACTTCAGTTGTTATTAAATCTTTAAAAAGAAGAGTGTTATGCTAATAAATAGCTCCTGGTGCAGGTATTGGTGGTGTTTTTCCTTTGTTTTAGATTTTTTTAATCTTTCTTTAAAAAATAGTGGGTAATTTAATTGTGGTGCTATGGTAAATCTTGGTTAAATAGTAGTTCCAGTCGAAGATTTCTCCCCAAAACCGCTTTGCAGAACATTAATTCTTTTAACTGTAACTATAGAAACATCTTTCTGTAGAACTAGAAGAGTTTATCCGGTCTCCTAGCCTGCTTCTTCCATTCTTACTGCACGCTTATCTGGCAATGTTATTGTTCCCTTGTATTGCATCTGTTCCCAACAAACCTCTGATTTCTTCTGAATCTTTCTTCGGTAATGCATATTTATAAATTTCAGTATTAAAAGTGCTTACAAAGTCAGGTTTTATTTTATTTCAAGGAGCCTCTACACCTTTAGCACTACTGTTCTCAACTGCATGTAGCATTCTTACTTTTAGGGAAGTTTCAGTTCTTTTTCAGTGCAGAAGACCTGGCGTGAGGCTGGAGTTGGAGTACAAAGAATAGTGGACTCCGCTGTTGGATACAGCACTTTGCACAAATTGTGTTTGTTTTTTTATGTTTACAGAGTGATTATTCATGAAAAGGAAATACATATAAAAGGCAACCTACATGTTTTACACATTTTTCTGGGTGGTTTTATGGCATACACCTTTGTTGTTTCCAACAAAGGTAAAAAAGAGGAATATATATATTTAAAGTACAAGTACATTTATGATATATTTTAAGCTTTGTGGATTTAAGCTGGCATTGACATCACTTTGGTTTTTCAAACATATTTTCCTACTGTGAATTCTACCCCATTCAGTAACTGTTTTGCCAAAGAAAGTAATTCTTTAAGGGATTAAAGCCAAATGTAATGCAGATGTCCAGCTAAGAAATAAAGAACTTAAAACCAATATAAAATGCTCTCATGTTGTTGTCTATTAAGTGGTATGTTTCAAGAATGATGATAACTATGCTATCTTTGACCGTTGGCAGCGAGAAATAATAATCAGGAAAGCTTTATAACTAGGTAATTGAGTAGGACATATGCTAGTATTCTGCACTTGCTTCCTAGGATTCAGTGTTTCAGAGTAGCAGCCGTGTTAGTCTGTATTCGCAAAAAGAAAAGGAGTATTTGTGGCATCTTTGAAACTAACAAATTTATTTGAGCATAAGCTTTTGTGAGCTACAGCTCACTTCATCCGATGCATTCAGTGGAAAATACAGTGGGGAGATTTCTATACACAGAGAACATGAAACAGTGGGTGTTACCACACACTATAAGGAGAGTGATCACTTAAGGTGAGCTATTACCAGCAGGAGAGCAGGGGCGGGGGGGGAACTTTTGTAGCGATAAAATCAAGGTGGGCCATTTCCAACAGTTGACAAGAACGTCTGAGGAACAGTGGGTGTGGGGGCGGGGGGAATAAACATGGGGAAATAGTTTTACTTTGTGTAATGACCATCCACTCCCAGTCTCTATTCAAGCCTAAGTTAATTGTATCCAGTTTGCAAATTAATTCCAATTCAGCAGTCTCTCGTTGGAGTCTCTTTTTGAAGTTTTTTGTTGAAGAATTGCCACTTTTAGGTCTGTAATAGAGTGACCAAAGAGATTGAAGTGTTCTCCAACTGGTTTTTGAATGTTATAATTCTTGACGTCTGATTTGTGTCCATTTATTCTTTTACGTAGAGACTGTCCAGTTTGGCCAATGTACATGGCAGAGGGGAATTGCTGGCACATATCACATTGGTAGATGTGCAGGTGCATGAGCCTCTGACAGTGTGACTGATGTGATTAGGCCCTATGATGGTGTCCCCTGAATAGATATGTGCACACAGTTGGCAACGGGCTTGTCATAAATATAAAGGGAAGGGTAAACACCTTTAAAATCCCTCCTGGCCAGAGGAAAAATCCTTTCACATGTAAAGGGTTAAGAAGCTAGGATAACCTCTCTGGCACCTGACCAAAATGACCAATGAGGAGACAGGATACTTTCAAAAGCTGGGAGGAGGAAGAAAAACAAAGGGTCTGTGTGTGTGATGCTTTTGCCGGGGACAGAACAGGAATGGAGTCTTAGAACTTAGTAAGTAATCTAGCTAGATATGCGTTAGATTATGATTTCTTTAAATGGCTGAGAAGATAAGCTGTGCTGAATAGAATGAATATTCCTGTCTGTGTGTCTTTTTTGTAACTTAAGGTGTTGCCTAGAGGGATTCTCTATGTTTTGAATCTAATTACCCTGTAAGGTATTTACCATCCTGATTTTACAGAGGTGATTCTTTTTACTGTTTCTTCTATTAAAATGTTTCTTTTCAAGAACTGAATGCATTTTTCATTGTTCTAAGATCCAAGGGTTTGGATCTGTGGTCACCTATGCAAATTGGTGAGGATTTTTACCAAGCCTTCCCCAGGAAGTGGGGTGCAAGGTTTGGGAGGATTTTGGGGGGAAAGACGTCTCCAAACAATGTTTTCCCAATAAACCCAGATAAACGTTTGGTGATGACAGTGGAAGTCCAAGGGCAAAGGGTAAAATAATTTGTACCTTGGGGAAATTTTAACCTAAGCTGGTAAAAGTAAGCTTAGGAGGTTTTCTTGCAGGTCCTCACATCTGTACCCTAGAGTTCAGAGTGGGGAAGGAACCTTGACAGGACTTTGTTGCAAGGATAGGTTCCTGGGTTAGTGGTTCTGTTGTGTGGTGAGGGTTGCTGGTGAGTATTTGCTTCAGGTTGGGAGGCTGTCTGTAAGCAAGGACTGGCCTGTCTCCCAAGATCTGTGAGAGTGATGGGTCGTCCTTCAGGATATGTTGTAGATCCTTGATGATGCGTTGGAGAGGTTTTAGTTCGGGGCTGAAGGTGATGGGTAGTGGCGTTCTGTTATTTTCTTTGTTGGGCCTGTCCTGTAGCAGGTGACTTCTGGGTACTCTTCTGGCTCTGTCAATCTGTTTCTTCACTTCAGCAGGTGGATATCGTAGTTGTAAGAATGCTTGATAGAGATCTTGTAGGTGTTTGTCTCTGTCCGAAGGGTTGGAGCAAATGCAGTTGTATCGTAGAGCTTGGCTGTAGACAATAGCTGTAGACAAATCGCTTGGCTGTAGACAAATCGTGTGGTTTGGTCTGGATGAAAGCTGGAGGCATGTAGGTAGGAATAGTGGTCAGTAGGTTTCTGGTATAGGGTGGTGTTTATGTAACCATCGCTTATTAGCACCGTAGTGTCCAGGAAGTGGATCTCTTGTGTGGACTGGTCCAAGCTGAGGTGGATGGTGGGATGGAAATTGTTGAAATCATGGTGGAATATCTCAAGGAATTCTTTTCCATGGGTCCAGATGATGAAGATGTCATCAATGTGGCGCAAGTAGAGTAGGGGCATTAGGGGACGAGAGCTGAGGAAGCGTTGTTCTCAGTCAACCATAAAAATGTTGGTATACTGTGGGGCCATGCGGGTACCCATAGCAGTGCTGCTGATTTGAAGGTATACATTGTTCCCAAATGTGAAATAGTCCAGCCCCATGGACTTGTGCTCGTCCAGCTTTTCTAAATAGTCCCAAACCACTTCTTTCTCCACAGAGGGCTGGTCACCTCCTCCCCATGCTGTGCTGCCCAGTGCAGTAGTCTGGGAGCTGACCTTGTTTGTGAAGACAGAGGCAAAAAAAGCACTGAGTACATTAGCTTTTTCACATCCTTTGTCACTAGGTTGCCTCCCTCATTCAGTAAGGGGCCCACACTTTTCTTGACTTTCTTCTTGTTGCTAAAATACCTGAAGAAACCCTTCTTGTTACTTTTAACATCTCTTGCTAGCTGCAACTCCAAGTGTGATTTGGCCTTCCTGATTGCACTCCTGCATGCCCGAGCAATATTTTTATACTCTTCCCTGGTCATTTGTCCAATCTTCCACTTCTTGTAAGCTTCTTTTTTGTGTTCAAGATCAGCAAGGATTTCACTGTTAAGCCAAGCTGGTCGCCTGCCATATTTACTATTCTTTCTACACATCGGGATGATTTGTCCCTGTAACCTCAATAAGGATTCTTTAAAATACAGCCAGCTTTCCTGGAATCTTTTCCCCCTCATGTTATTCTCCCAGGGGATCCTGCCCATCAGTTCCCAGAGGGTGTCAAAGTCTGCTTTTCTGAAGTTCAGGGTCCGTATTCTGCTCCTCTCCTTTCTTCCCTGTGTCAGGATCCTGAACTTGACCATCTCATGGTCACAGCCTCCGAGGTTCCCATCCACTTTAGCTTCCCCTACTAATTGTTTCCAGTTTGTGAGCAGCAGGTCAAGAAGAGCTCTGCCCCTAGTTGGTTCCTCCAGCACTTGCACCAGGAAATTGTCCCCTATCCTTTCCAAAAACTTCCTGGATTGTCTGTGCACCGCTGTATTGCTCTCCCAGCAGATATCAGGGTGGTTGAAGTCTCCCATGAGAACCAGGGCCTGCGATCTAGTAACTTCCATGAGTTGCCGGAAGAAAGCCTCATCCACCTCATCTCCCTGGTCTGGTGGTCTATAGCAGATTCCCAGCATGACATCACACTTGTTGCTCACACTTCTAAACTTAATCCAGAGACACTCAGGTTTTTCTGAAGTTTCATACTTGAGCTGTGAGCAGTCATACTGCTCCCTTACATACAATGCAACTCCCCCACCTTTTCTGCCCTGCCTGTCCTTCCTGAACACTTTATATCCATCCATGACAGTACTCCAGTCATGTGAGTTATCCCACCAAGTTTCTGTTGTTCCAATCACATCATAATTCCTTGACTGTGCCAGGACTTCCAGTTATCCCTGCTTGTTTCCCAGGCTTCTTGCATTTGTGTATAGGCACTTGAGATAACTCGCTGATCGTCCCTCTTTCTCAGTATGAGGCAGGAGCCCTGCCCTCTCGCGCGCTCCTGCTCATGCTTCCTGCCGGTATCCCATTTCCCCACTTACCTCAGGGCTTTGGTCTCCTTCCCCCGGTGAACCTAGTTTAAAGCCCTCCTCACTAGGTTAGCCAGCCTGCTTGTGAAGATGCTCTTCCCTCTCTTT